TATAGCAACAATAAAGTGACCTTGAAGGTGAAAAGCATTATATCGATATCGATAAAATTGTACCTACCCTACAATGTTATGAAATGTAATTTTCTGATGCGAACAACTCGCGTACATTTGTAGCTTTCCTGGAGTATTCCGGGGAAATTGCGATTCGCGGCTGCCTGGGGTACGTTAGATCTGCTCTACTCTCGTTTAAATTGCAGAGTCGTTTTTATAATATAATGCTAGCTTTGCCTGCGTGAGATTTTCGCGCCATTGTGAACTTTCAAAGATGGTGTGGTGAATTTTACGAGTACTGTTATGTTGCATAGGACCTCTTTAAACGTAAACTATTTTATACTGTTAAAGTTCTTAAAGAGTGAAACATAAAGACAAGAGATATATAGCAATTAATGTACATATATGAAAAATTTGAGACTACAAGTGAATATCATTATAAACATTTTAGAACTACTATGTAAGTGTTTCTGCACGTTTTTATTGAGCTTATATAATTTATTAGTATAATTTAGCGTTTACATCCAAATGCTTTGTAGAGTATCATTCATGGTAGGGTTGGCACCCCGTATTGTAACAAGTGTCCACAATTCGCATCCTTGACCGGTTTTCATCGATGACTGATGGCGAACATGTGCTGCCGGCAGTCGTCTACTCATCGCCCAGTTAGCATAGGGCTACCTCACCTCTATAGGATACCTACCTATCTATATGATGTTTTTTAAAACGCTAAAGCTTTGTTTAATGAACTCTAAATCAAAGAAAGTACCACAACATCCAGTATGTTTTCTATACTGACGCGACCGAAAATCGAACCCGGAACCTTAGAGATATGTACCTGCAAACGAATCACATAGCTATGGAGGATATACAAATAAAAAAAATTACTAAGTCAGTAAATTTGATAACAACACGTTTTCCATATACTGGTGCGGTACAAAAATGTTAGCTAGTTTTCAATAAATCTTTGTTTTTTGAGTCAGAGATTTAAATAAATGGTCGAATAATATACATACATTTTAATATTATAGATATTTGTATTTCTTTACTGAATATAAGAATTAAAAAACCGATCAAATTCTCATTAATTGTTAATAAATACTGGCTGACTTCTTTATTAATTAGCTCCTTGATAATGCACGTATATTTTTTGTTGTAAAGTACACTGCCAACATTTGACAACCCTAACTTAAGACGAGGGTTGCCTCTAAGATAATTATCTTTTTTACTCATACCCGACTCGGCTTTAATATCGTGATAAATGCTGCGGAAGGCTTGCCGTTGACGCGCAATGTTACGTACACACTCCACAACCATATTCCACCCTCCTTTTCACGAGCCACTTACGAGAAAGAGACGCTGATAGGTCTGATTGTTTTTATAGTTGTATCTGGGAGCGGAGATCAAGAGGGTACTCTTAACATTAGATTTGATTAATACCTTGCTTGTTATTTCAATTTTATTGGGCAACAGATGCTTTTTATTTTTTCCGCGTAATTCTTGCACTCGAATATGATAAACAGGGGATTTTCTTTTTTAATTTTACGCCCATTAGACGCCGTCTTTTCTTGACTACTTGATACATTAATATAAACTTAAATTGGCAGTTTAACGTAGACAGAGTTTAATAAAATATCCATCTTTGATTTGTTTAACAGAAATGCCAATGTAAAGCGACGACTGAAAACTAGGTAGTCTGACTAGCAGCTATACTACTTTAATTCCTAACTTTTATTTGACTACTAGCTGTTTTCTCGTGACTTTAACCGCTTAAATTATAGGCTATGTCGCCTATATTTTACACGGTGGAGCTTCTTGTAGGTAGGTGAAAACTTTTTGAAATCGATCCAGTTGTGTCGAAATCTATACATTGAAAGCAAGCAATCAAATCTTTCCACTTAATTAAAATTATTAAAGAGTAGGTAACCCTGCAAACCATTTATCGCATAATTTTAAATAATAAAAAATGTGTATAAATACATTGAGCTAATACTACTACGTAGTTCAATGTATAAATAAGATCAACAAAATAAATTTCTGAGCTCGAAATGCTTTTACTATTTATCTTGCACTTTCTATATGTTTTTTCACCATTAAGTCTTCCTTTGATCCCTACAAATATTTTAAAACCTAAATTAACCAAAACAGTCCACTCGTTCTCGAGTTTCTGTGTGATCAACAAACATAATTTTATTTAAAACTCGTAGAATTATATTGATTTCTTATATTTTCACGCACACTATCCATAATTGAAACAACTTTTAAACGAATTTTAGTAGAGATGAAGGTTGGCATATACCACCGGCTTGAGATCCAGTAATTAGTCAAATAAAACCTCAATTCAGATCACACATTGCAAAACGGAGAGATACAGTTAGTTCATTCTGTAAAAATTAAATTAAAGGAAGCAATTCACTTTCTCTTGTCGGAGTTTGTTTCTGTTCAGACAAGACTCCCAAAGTTGGAATTAGTAGATTATGGTAGCTAGGGGAAAATAAATAAGTTAAATGTTTTTTTAAATAATTTAATTTATTAAATGTAAACGTTGCCATAAAATATATAATTTTTGTATTGTGAATGTGTCCGATAGTATTAGTTTTTTGAAGGTAGCTATACTTACTTTTAATTAAAAAGACAATCAACATCTTAGTCTTATGTGAACACGGAACCTGTAATGGTTTTGAAACATCTTAAATTAAATACAAACACGATGAAACAATGTTTATTAAAATGTGAATGATTATGACATTAAAATATAAACTATACGAAACACTATGTGACTTTTTTCAGTCGACTTACTGAACAATTAAATTCGCTAGACATATCAATCTGGATTGGGCCCGCGAATATTTCATTCCGTCCATAGGGAAGACTTGGGGACGTTAATACACTGATGATGATATCAATGAACAACTGCATGTCATAAAGATTACTACGTTTATAATTTGAAATTTTAAAATGAAACTCGGTAATTTCTCTCAAAAGAAACATAAAAATTTCTTGTTTCCTATTTCTTTAAACTCGTCGTTTAGCACGAACGTAAAACAACCAGACACCGTCTCTATTAAAGTACACACTAATATTAAATCGATATGACATACCTACTGCTGTTTACCGAAGCAATAGATCAAGTTGAAGAACCCTAATTTAGCGTCGAAACAAACATTGAACCCTCCATCGGGGAAGCATACAATAATCTTCATAAAAAAGCCGTTGGCTTTTATGACTTAATCAAAAGCCTTCGTCTAGCCAAGTGTCTGTTACGAAATTATACGCTTACAACCCAACATTTTTAAATTATAGTTGGTACACTGTTTATTTTTCATTTGCCTATTTCATTAAAGAAACAAATATAATATTTATTTACACATCATTAAATTTGAAACTTGACATTTAATCTTAATAATATTTTATACACAATAGTAACAGCTTCTTTTTACCATGCACAATATAAGAAGAACGTATAATATACATCAAGAAATCTTTATATTAAAAAAAAAATAAAAAATTAAATTAAGTTAAAAAAAAATAGTTTCGTCCATTCATATCACAAACGTAAATTAAACTTTATAAAAAAGTATTCAATCGAATATAGGATGTATGGGAATAGGTAGTGTATTAAAATATACGTTATACGTACCTGTTTTATTAAAAGAATCAACAGAAAACACTTTACACCTTGGTAAGGTGTCTATTGCAACTCTACAATTTAAAAAAGTTGATTTGAAAGCTCTATGACATGAACATCAGAAGTAAAAAGTACATTGTAGGTATCTCATTATAAATCATAGATAATTAAAATCTAAAAATAAAATACAAAAACTTTATGAATTTCGATTTCTGACTGTCACAAAATAAGAAGTTTTTGTTTTCAGTATTTATTTATAGTTATTCTTTTTATATTTTTATGTAGGCACAAATGTGAATATCAAAGGAACTTGATTAACGTGAAAACAATAGTTTCTTACAAACATACTATCTTTTGTATAACTTTAATTCATAACCACAGTTTAATCGTGAGCCGTTAACATGTTAAATGTATAAAACTAACATAAAACTGTACTGTGCCCCTTTATAAAGACCTATTAATAATTTCGAAGCTAACAATGAAAATTAAATCATCAAAGGGTCAAATGATAAATGGGCGAGAGCGACAAGCCGGTGCATCTCGACAGGGACTAATAACGCCATCTATCCTGCGGCCGCGATGCTTGGAGTAATATCCAATGCCGACATCTGCCGCTAGGTAGCGTTCGACGCGGACTTGTTTTTGTGATCTTCTGAATAAAATTATTCGTAGTTACCGTTGTTATTTTCATTTATGATTAATTTAATAAAAAAGGAAATTAAATGAAAACTGACAGTGTTTTATTTATATATTGTATAGTGAATGTTAATTTAAAACGTTTTGAACATTCATAGCAACGTAAGATCATTTAATTATAATTTCAATACACGTTTTGTGGATCTCTTTTATAGATATAGTCATTGATTTCTTATCTATTTGTAAATTATGAGATTATTTTAAGTGTCGTGTGTCTGAAGTTTATGCTGTAAGCTGAGTTTCTTGGCTGTATTTCTTAAAGTTCTTAGGTAACTAGTAAGATGGCGCTTTCATGTAAAAAAGCAATAAAGTTGGTAGGTAGAAGTAGTAACTAAGTTGGGTAAAAATACACGAATCTGTGATTTTTTATACACCGAGAATAGTTCTAATTAATAGTATTGTTGTTGTTAACCGTTTTAAGTTAAAAATGTAGTAAATTCAATAATGAAAAATGTTTTAAGTAAAATAATGTTAAAGTCTGTAACATTTCATATTATTTTCATGTAAAGTAAGCAAACTATAGAAACTAATAATACATGACTTATGTCTGGTTATATTTAGTAAGATTGACAAATTTAAATTATTTCTAAAAAAATATATCTATAAACTGGCAAATTTTTTGACTTTACTGTTTTTCTCACAAATTCATTTTCGTATTAAAAAGTCTGTTTTCCAGGTGCTAGGCAAGAATGGCATTCGTGGCTGGCTGGATGGCACCGCTGAGAAGTCCAATTGGCTGAAGCTGGTTCGTTCAACCAGTTATCCCCATGACGTAAACGTTCAGCATCTCTTGCACGCAGGCCAAGTAAGATCATTCAAAATTTAATAAGTAGAACTTGGGTATTTAAAATATGTATATATATACTTTTATTTTCCTGTTTTCTCTTAGTGTCAAATAATACTAGTAACGAATGTAAAACATTTCAATGTATTTAGAGTTTTCAATACCAAATATGTTGAGTAAACTTTGTTTGGTTAGTTTTGTTCGCGTTCTAAGTTTTAACACAGTTTTAGCCCATTCCAAAGAATCCGCATTCCGATTTACTCGCGTAAATATATCATATTTATAATACTAGACCAATGTTATTACTATAATAGACAGAAATAATTGGAGAATTTCTAAAATAGTCACTAAACATGATCAAATTGAATAGAAAATATATGTAGGCAAGCTTATAATACTTTTAAAATTATAATACCTCCTTAGCGCGATAAGATAGCATCAAAATTGTTGAGCTCGTAGTTACAAAGATTGTACCGTGGATTAAAAGACCTTGTTGTGTACGATTCTTTTTGACATAGAGTGAAAATATAGATAGATATATATTTAAAATACTCAAGTATATATTGTAATACTTTTACAGTGCTGTTTATAATCAAGGTTTAGTGTTGGAGTAAATTTACGCTGAGACTGGTCTTCGTAAGTATTAGTCAAAATTCATATTATTAAACAGAGACTTAACAAAGGTTAACCTAGTACGAGGTTCCACGGGAGTAATATTTGTTCCTAGAAGGTAGTAGAATTGCTTATTCCCTGTATAATATGAATTTGGACTAATACTAAAATTGCAATTTTACCGTAAATTTACTCTGACACCAAACCTTGTTTATAAGTAGCACTGTTAGCGATTAAGTAAGTAGTATAGTATATCAAGTAGTATTTTTTCAAAGCGATACGAATTCACCAAAATTACTTAGTTTATATTACTAACAATTTAGATCAGTTATTTCAATTATAAACAAATTAAATAAACAAATTATATCAGTTATTGCAGGTTTTTATTAGTCACGTTTTTTTTTTAATTTGTGTAGAAGATGCTTTTTCAAGGAGGTTGCTATATTACTTTACATATTGTTACTGATATTTATGTAGATGGTAGTATACACTACTACTGTTTAGTATTAACTTTTTATTTAAGGGAAACTTCATAATTACAAATTTTCTTTACTTATTAATTTAATATTCTGTGTATACCTCCGTATCCGAGTGGTAGACAGGTTCGATTCCGGGTCGGGTCAATGTAGAAAATGGACTTGCCTATATTGTGTCGGGTCTTGATGTTGTGGTACCTTCGTTGTCTCAGATACTCCATAAAACGGAGGGTGTATAGCTAGTCATCTTGGAATATGAGCAATGTATGTGATGTCTAATATTTATTAATTTACGCATACACATTTTTTAAAGAATTAATAACACAAATAATTGCTGTCTTTAACTATCAAGAAAAACTTTAAAAAATTGTGCATGCATGTTCTGGAATAACTATAAGATACTTGTTGAAGTAATTAGTTTTGAAATCTCTAATTGTGTATTTACATCACACCAAAAAGCACCGCAACATTCAAATGATTGTCGCAACCCTCATTACGTGTATGGCGTACCCCAATAAAATTTGAATGTGGATCGTTGGCACTTCCGGTGGCAGAAAATCGGAGCTCAGTTGAACAACTGTGTCCTGCTTCCGGTCACGAGGGGAGTGAACAGATGCGGTGATTAGATTCACTCTGAACCCTAACTGAGCTTGAAATGTGCGATTGTCTATGGAATATATATAATACCCGCAAGTTGCTATCGAACTATTTATCGATTAATTGAATTCCTATAAGCTATAGCTTACTAACAAAACTAACATTATAATGTTAATTTTCTATATCTCTATAGAAAATCAGCTACTCTAGGATATATTTCTCCATGAAAAATTTGTTATATTTAAATTTAACGGAAATTCTGTTTTTTTTATAATGTAAATATCCATTTCTAGGGATAAATAAGCTAAGATAAAAGTGACTAATTCTTATTTATCACGATACGACCTCTGCCTTACTTCAATAGAAGTTTCTTGAATAGAACCGTGTATAAAATAAATTAATATATTTTTGGTCTTTTCATTCCAATTTCATTTTTTTACACAAATATATATCATTCAAATCTTAAAACATCTGTTTAGAGTATTGGTGATTTTTAAAACATATGATGGTATGGCTAAAATATGTGGTTAAAACCAATCGGGGTTCAAAAAGAATAGTAGTGAAAGTGTTTTTTTTTTGTAATTTATTTATCTATACTGGAGATAAAAAAGGAAGATATCTTCATAGATTAAGTATTGTTTATCAAAAATATGGAATTCTTTTTATTCACTTTATGCTACTATAATTTTCAGGTTTGGTACAAGGTGATACGTGAAATTCACACTGGTGAAGAATTGCTTCTAGGGCCAAGAACGCCTTTGCCTCTGCAAGACGTTTTACCTCCAAGTACTGGTAAGTATTCATAATTTCATCTTACTATAATTATTAAAACCTTATTTGAGAACGTAATATTCATCACAATTAAGCTAAAAGTAAATAACTTATTTATATTTTTGTCACCAAAGCTAAATAAAATTTTGAATAAATTTGAATAAAATAAACTTACAATGTCATCAATGATTTTATAAGAAATCATTTATATTATTAATAATAATTAATGAATTATAAATTTAAGTCGTTAAAGCGAAAAGGTTGTTAATATAATATCAATTAAAAAAGTGCAAATGGTTAGATTGTATATAAGCTAAAGGAACTTTTTCATCCCGCTTAAATGTTCCTAGAGATTAATCAACCTTAACCGAAGAAGTTATTCCGATTCATCTTTTATTATTTCATTTGTTAATTCCTTCATTGAAATGTCGTAAATATACTGAAACAATCGCCGTGCGTTCGACATCGTTTGAATCACGGTCACGCGTAGTTCACGCTCCGTTTGTCCTGGGCGAAGTTAATTGGAGTCACCTGCCCTGCCCTCTGGCCCTTCAGTTGTCGTGTGACCCTTGGACTTTAGGTGTTACGTATTTCATTTACAGGCCGCTTCGCTTTTTCTCAATAAAAATCGTATAAAGCTAATACTATCATCCAAATAAATATTAATAATGTCATAGCTATTGCTAATAATCTTTATTTATGAGAAATAATCTATGATACAAAAAGTAAATTTCTTAATAGACAGTCAATTGTATGTCTTATTAATTTTTATAGTCATATCTATACTAATATTATAAAGAGGAAAGATTTGATTGTTTGTTTGCATCGAATAAGCTCCGAAACTACTGGAATGAGTTTATGAATTCTTTCATCTGCACAAAAGCTATGTCATATACCCGTGACATAGGCTATTTTACGCGGGCGCAGTCATAGGAAAACAGCAAGTCGTTTAATAAATAAAAATATATATTTTTTATTTGCATAAAGTAGAAAGTTATGTCAATAAATACTGATTAGGTAGTCTTTTTTTTGTAATGTATCAAGAGGCGTTACCGATTAAAATGCCTCATTTAACTCTTAAAGTTACACGCTGTACATACGGCCTAGGCACCGTGCCATAGGCGGCACGCGCATGCGATGCTTAATTTAGATAAATCGCAACGTACGCGCCCGATGTGAAAAATCACGCATATGTTTTTGTTATCACAAGGGTTATTAGATGGAGTGGTGTTTATTTACTAGATGTGATTTTATTTTATTAAGACTTTGAATCACGTAATAAATATTTCAAAATATGACAAAATATTCAGTATTAATCGCAATAACAAAAATATATTTTGTTTTTTTTTTGGTGTATTAGAGTAGGTTCCAGTTTTTTTTTACATGACTGTAAATATTTCATAATGTTATTTAAAGAAATTCAAAGAAAATCGATACCAATGGAAGTTTTCATATTCCGAACAATAATTTCGTATGTTTCCATTGTATCATTTCCAGTGGTTTTAGAAAGCAGGGGATTTTAGCGCTTCCTGTAGCACCTTCCGGTGTGTCGGCGACACAGCCGGCGCTGTCGATGATTTATGCGTTTCGAATTGTTCTTAATTACTATACCTATGTCTAATAAAATCTTGTTTCACGACATAAATGGATTATATTTATAACCATTTTCGTTCTATAAAATATGATCTTTTGCATGTATGAATGAATTATCTTCTTGATCATCATTTTAAGAGAAAATACGAGTATATTATTTATTATATCTAGTTACTCGTGTTAGTAAATACCTGCTGCATGCACATAAAAATTGCGTGATTAGCTACCCGATGTATGTATACGAGTAGTAACCCACGTTTTATTCTTCGTATGTGCTTAACTAGCTGTTTTGCTTCGTTCGACTTTGGTTGCGTGCATTATAATCTACATTATCCGCGTATGCAGCTTCTCGTAGATTAGAAAAAATAGCATTTAAATCAGTCCAGTTGTTTCGAAGCCTATTCAACAGAAACAAACAATTAAATCGATCTTCTTTATAATTTCACCAAATATGGTCGTTCTAATACTATTGATTTATAAACAGAATTTTTTTTCTAAGTGTGTCACTAATTAAATGATATCAGTGAATCCGCTTAAAATCCATCCATCAATCATGTCTGTACTTTAAGTATTTTCTCACAATGTTTTTTCTTGTAATATGAAATTAATATTTATATTCCACATTCATTTACCATAAAACTCAAAACACCCACATACTATAAACAGCTGCCTGGCACATCGATTCTTACACAATGACTCTTAATATTCGTAATTAGAATCGATTTGCAGCCACTCTTCACAAATACATTTGTCATGAACTTGCGCAAGAGGTGATTGATGGGCTTTTGGACATCGAATTATAACGATAAGAACTTTTTTTTACGAAAGGATTATTCCGGAGACACGTATGAGTTTCGAATACTTCATGATTGATTGTCGCTGCACGCGTCTTTTATTTAATTTGTAATTCATATTTTATATATTAAATGTAGTTACTATAGTATATATTTTTCATTTATATAACACAAAGTTCTTTGCATTTGTTGAACGCAATATCGCAAGAACGATAGAATTTATTTTCATTAAGTTTATACCAATGAACAAAACCATTTGTTTTCAAAGAAAGATTTATGTGTAGGTATAAGTAATTAAAATTTTGTAAGAACTGCATAAAACATCATGTCGACTGGAAGCTTAGTTCGTGTAATTCGCACGAAGTAGGGGTGGGATGTTAGTAGTTAATTTAACAATGAGGCGAGTAACTTAAATTAATAAATTCTTGCTATGTGATTTCTTTCCAGCAATTATTATACATAATGTTTTATGTATGGGATCCTAATATTGTATTTTGCTCTGGATATGAAATCAAATAGAATACAGTATCGACATTTATGCCTACATATAATAAAAAAATAATACTTTGAAGTTATTCAGAATCTAACTTAAACAAAAAGTAATTACTTCTCACGACCTTAAGTATATACGAGTGTAAGAGTACTTATGAAATGAAATTCTTAATTTGATGAGTCAATAATAATATATCTCTAAAATGCTTCGAAAATTAAAGCTTTACAGTTGTTCATTTTAAATATTTATAAAATAATGTACAAAAATATAATCTGTCTGTTGCCTTACTAACAATAATAAGTTAACCCTTTATTAGCAATATGATTTCTGTGTGCGTGCGCTCGCGTAATGAATGAGTGCCGCGTTGACATTTGTCATCGCGCAATTGTCGCGGAGATTAAAATTGATGACGTTGCTTTGTCCGGCGCAAGCGCACGCGCTTATGCGTTATTTTATTATTAAACTTAGATTAAAAAATCGATTAAAATAGAGAACCTCTTTTACTATATATATATTTTTAAATATGTGAATAGAATAGGATTTCCTATTCTGCTAAAACGTATAAGTAAGTTTCTATTTCAGTCTGCAAGTATTTATGCTCCGCTTTGATTTATAACAAGTAAGATTCACAGTTGTTTTACCATGTGATATATATAGAAGGAAGTTAAGTTGTTATCGGAGAAAATAATCAGTTTTATAATGTCAACAATTGTAGGTATTACAATTTTGTATAAAATGGCTGGTTATTATTTGTCATAAAGTTGTTCAATATACTGAACTAATCTATCCACGAAGAGCTGGCATATAAAAATATAACACCTTATATATAAACAAAAACCAATTTCAAAATTAACAATGTTTAACGGACACGTGGGCAAAGTCATAGATAACCGCTAGTCTACGTTACATTTTATATATTCTTAGGATTGCGTCTCAACTTTATGCCTATCGTAATATTATTATTATATTAAATTAATATTTATTGCACTATACGTCTAATGATGATTTGTAGAATGCTTTAACATTGTAATCACTAATCAGTATATGCAATCGTGCAAACACAAACGGACGTGAAAATAGAAACGTCACAGAATCGCGATGATTCCCCACGAAATTGGAATGATTAATCAAAAAATTAACCGTCGACAAAGGCGCGACCCCCATTAAACCGTTCACAATCGCTCGGCGTCCCACATCGCCTATTTATTTAACAATCAAATAAATATTACGGATAATAAAATAGAAATATTTCAATTTAATATCACCGCCCCCAGTGAAGGGTTAAGTTTGCTTTGTCTCGCCTTTTTGTTCACAGATCAGATCGTGCGTATCTAGATGTTACGCAAAATTGAATAATATCTGTACCACAATACATCTGTTGCGTGACACAAAAAAAAAAATGTATTGAATTTGTTCTAAATCTTTTCAATTCATTCCGGAAAATTGGCTCTGCTAATCTCGTAACTGTTGATCAGCAGAGTTGTTCATTTTTTTATAATTTCTTGATTTTGCGTTTAGATTATTTTTCCATGTTTAGCTGTAGTCTTTCAAGTAATCGGCAATTGCAACAAAATAAAAACAGGAAAATACATATCGAGCAAATCGAAAACAAAATTTGTGTTAACTTTTACTTCTAAAAATTGAAGAAAAAGAATGTCAAAATATGGGTATATTGTATGTTAGAGATAGCAGTGGAGAAATCTTTGTGATCTGTTTGGCCGAATTACCGAATCACTTCTAATACATTACGAAGTTAGACGAATTGAAAAAAAAAACTTAGTTGTAAAAGAATGAAAAAAAGACTTTTATAGTTGTTTTAGTAAAGTATGTCTTTCATTTTAATATATGAATTAATCCTGGTGGCAACGTTTCAGAAAATTTCGATAGGTGTTATAATAATATATTTTTATTTTGTCATTTATGACTTTTTCACTTTTTATTTTCGTTGTTGTCTTGTTGCCGAGTAATTGTCACTTTTTATAAGTATTGTTGTATATCTTGTGTTGTGTTTGTACGTATCTTCACAATTATTTTTTATTTTTTCTGCCTGCCACTGCCTGCCACAACAATTATTTTTCTGCCTAGTTTATCGTTTAATTGAATAATCTCTGCCTTTAGCAAATTTATTTAAATAGAATGTAATAACAACAGTAAAAATAGTGTAATTGTTATTGCTTTTTAAATGATGTGGTTGGAAGAAATGCATTTTCTGTTTGCAATGCTTGAAGCTTAGCTTATGTTGTGACATCATGAATTGACTGACGATGGTATATTAAAATTTTACATATAGCGTATTAGCTCAATGCAAAAGGCCAAATTTTGAACTCGACTGATAAGAAATGATAGTTAACAAATTTATTCTAAGAATTTGGTTTGCCTAAACGAATTTATATATCTATTGTGAATAAATATAAACTTAAATAAAAATAAAAAAAAACGAAATCAGCCCAATGTTATATTGGAACGATTTAGCTAACCCGATCGTAGGTGATATAATTTTATCGACCTAGAGTGAAATGTTAGTTATTTTTATCAGCTATCTTTTTCCTGGTAGGTAACTTGCATAATCAAATGTAAGTATCTATTAGTAACTTTCCATACCGCCAACTTCCTAAGCGAAACAACAGGTGTAACTCCATTTGTGTGATCGTTAAATTCATTATAAGATCGGTAAGTCACCGTCACGGTGCGCGCGCGCCGCGATGCCATCTGGTAGTTTCGTGGGAAAACTTAACGTCCATGCAATGCGCCCTTTATAAAGAAAGAAATTACATTTAGACGAATATAGTATTTACTTGAAAACTTATACTGAATTAAAAAACAACGCGTATTGATTTTATATTTTTAATAATTAGACTGATTGAATTTAGTTTTATCTATTTTTAATGTCTACTTACCTTTTGAATAGATATATATACTAGAATAAACAAAAACAAAGCATAAAGCTCGTAGAGCTTCGTTACTTATTCTAGTTTTATAAGTAAAATTGTACAATACTTATAGATATTATTCGACATATTGTTATATCATAAAAGCAGATTTAACCTGTCCAAATAGCATGACATACTCGAGAAAAGAAGTCACTATCGGAACATATTACAGGGTTACTACCCGTACGTACAGGCATTTCATAAGCACATAATATGCTTGAGCCGTTTCATGTGGCGCCATATTTTCTCTGTCTACCCAGCAAGGTAAAGGGCGTGAAAATATATATAGATAAATATGCTATAAAATATCGAATAACAATAAACATTCAAAACAGTTTTATTTAAATGTACAAATATTAAATTGATGAACCTCTTTAAACCAAAATAATAGAAACGATAGCACTGATAAAATCAGTGGAATCAACGAGCAATCAGTGTTTAATTGTCGTCGTGCGTGCCTACCCTATTCTAAAACGTACTGTTAAAGTACGATAAAATAAATTCTGGATGGTACCTTGATGATAGTTTTAGTAATGGCCTAGCCTTTAAATGAGACGGTGGGAAAAGTAAGCTTTATTTCCAATAGCTTTTAATGTTAATTTGAATGAGGTTTTCTTAAAGATTCTGCACCATCAAAATAATCTCGACTAATTTTAAAGGTATTTAAAATGAGTCGAGATTCTCTATATTAATATAATATAAAGACTTAGATAACAATCGAATTTTCATTAAAATTTAGCTAAAAATATTTCCATATTCTGACATTGAATTTTGTTAATAAAATGCTTAGATTATATTTTAAAAATAATTGCATATTATCTATTATATTATACGCCACAGGTGGCTATTTGATTTTTACAGTTAACTTGCTTTAATTAATAATGATTTTAACAACTTAAAAACGGTAATGGTCGACGCGACACGCACAGATGATTTTTGAATTTTTCCCCAATACTAGTGGCGGGTCAAGTGAGCATATTAACCCTCCCACGAGGGGGTGGGGGCAATACCTGCCCTGATAATTGTTTCGGTACAATACTGACACCATATACTGTTGAGTTGACCTGTGAGTTGCTTCTCTAGAGCATCCCTGTGTTTACGTGTTCTTTTTTTTCATGAAAATAAAAGGACGCGATATAGTTTTACTTTTGTTTTGGTGACTTCGAAGGTACGTATAAGTGTGTAGTTGAAAGTTACTTTTTTTAGATTTTTTAAATTAAATTATTTTTTAAATAAAGTTTTCTGTTAAAAATGATTATTTGTCATAAATATATTTACGAACGATTAGAATACTTTATAAAGAAAATATTCGAAAAACTTAGCTAAACTTTGTTAGGCTAAGAAAATCATGTTCTTTCTGCATTTAATAGTATTAATTTTGTATTAACAATACTAAATATTATTATTGCTTTGAAATGAGACTTAAGCTAAAATTACTACTTAACAAAAGATTCTCTTGTCTCTTTTGACTTCATAAAGTTGTGTTTCATAAACTTTAACTTGAAAATGACGGCGCCTCGCTTCAGTACTGCCGGATGGATTAGCATTTACTAATACTTAATATTTGCGCTATGATATCAACGTCGTGTTAACCTATCTCAACTTATCACGCTGGTTAGACAATGCTTCAGGCGTGGCACTCGTGACTGGATTAATTCAGCGAGTGTCAATGCAGTACGCTTTACTTCCGAGCGACGACGAGGCGACGACGCCCCGCTATAATCATAAATTTCTTATTGGACATTCATGAAATGTCATGTTTTGTTTGTGTTATGATTACAAAAATATATTAACGGCTGTATAATAAATATTTATTGGCTATTTAACAACTTTTTCTTTTTGTTTTTCTCACTTCTAGCGTCGCTTGCGTCTTGAACATTTTGATCGTACTACATATGGTTCTTTTTTTGTTTATTATTATTACTAATTCTTGCTTCTTTCATATCATTTATATTTCACTAATCATGTCTAGAATCATGGTATCTTAAAACTTTTTGGTTCAAAGAGGATTCTTCATAGGAGAAGAATAGAGAGAAAGCACTACACAATGTCTGCTCTAATAGTAATTTGATATATATAATATTCCTTAAATTTAAAAAAAGCATGAGTTGTTGTGTCATGCTATCATTAGAATTGACTAATTACTGATTAAAATCGATTGTTCTGTATCGCAAATGGTTTGAGGGTGTGCTGATTGACAATATAATGTTTTTATTAATAGCATGATACTTTATGCGTCTATAGATTCAAAATATAGTATCCATGATCCAAGCCTGATAATAATAATAAATACAAAACAATAATAAAAATGTACCATAAACAAACTTTTATTATGAAGAAATTCTGAAGTGGAAATTGTTAAAATGCTGTATAAGTGTATTCGTTCTTCGTACGCAATTTTGCTTTTAATAATAATAGTATGGTTTTAATGTTACGATCAAGAGTGTAAAAGGTATTAATTATAATTTGAATTCGATATTTATCATGGCGTGATTTTACTAGCACGAAAGTAGCTTTAATTATTTTTTAAGGTGTAATATGGTCCATCAGATTATTTTTTATATTGACGCATTTGAACAAATGCCCTCGAATATCCTAGCTATGCTTATGTTTGTGTGCTTACTAGGGTTTTTTATAAATAATACATTAACAATTCAAGGCTACTCATAAATTATATAATCTAAGATATAAAAGCATAAAATAATCATCTATCAATTCAATTTTTAAGCCATAATTATAAAGAAAAATGTGCATCAATTAACAACATATAATTTTCTTGTTATTCAATTGGCGTTTATTTTTTTCCAGAATTGCAATCAGCCGGCAATAAATTTTCTATAACTGAAGAAGAAGAACGCGAAGACGCTGAACCTAGGTGTTCCTTCTGTGAAGCACCGTTCCCTAATATTGACGTGTGAGTATCATGACTTGTTTTGATTCTTTTAAATCCAGAATATATTTGTCTACCATAGAATAATTTAGATTCCGTAGCTTTACTATTCAAATTTAGAAAAAGAAGAAGCGTTTCGTAATACATTACTCGTTGGTAAGGAATATTGTTACTGATAAATCAAATGTTTGCAGCATTGAGCTTCAAATCGCTTAGGACTCGTGGGGAATTCGTCCCTTCTGGACAAGGTAGCAAGGTTAGGGTAGTATCCCTAGTAGTAAATATGACAAGATATGTTGTTGTCATTAAAAATATTTTTTGTGTTTATTATGAATTAAATGAAATTAAATGAAATTATATTTTTTTCATTTTCATAACCGTCTTTGAAACATTAATTAGCCTTTAAACATTTAAATATTATTTGGTCACCTGGCGTACCTATAGATTTATTTAGAGATGTGCATTCGATATAGTGATATAGTGTCGATGATTTGTGATGGGGCGGTGCGACGGCGACGTACAATATGTCGTGTCAAAATAATAGTCACCGTGTCAAGAAACTTGTTAATGCTAGAGGGGATTTCGCTTTATTCTTGAGTAAATTTACTAATCTCATTTCAACCTTTATACTTTTTTAGTTGAAATAAAATACATAGAAAATTCACAAAAATTTAACATTATACGATATTGTAACGATCGTAGTGATTAACATCAGTAAAACGTTAAATTGAGAGTCTCATCACGAATGGTTGTATAGTGAATTTATTATCAGTGTGACAAGCGGTGGAAGGCCATAATGGCGTGTGTCATCATATTCTATTGAAGCGGCGTCGGGCTCATTAATAATGCAGGCAGAGATTATCGACATGCACCGTTCCAACGTATCCTCGCTTATCGGCCCATCGCCATCACTATTGTTTTAAACGTTTTGAGATCGATCAGTAATTACCTATTTGTTTTATATATAGTTTTTTATTCAAGAATAAGACATTATTTTTAAAAATACATTTCAACAACGGCATTTGAATCTCCATAATTTTACATGGCTTATTAGTAAGAATATATATAAATGTACAAGTATAATTTTCACATACAACGGTTAAAATTTTCGTTTGTTTTTACATTACTAAAAAAATAAGTATTAGAAGAGTTAAGTAAAGCTTCATAATCCGCTACAAAAATTCTTCGTGTATTAGATAGATATATGATAATTAAACTTTTAAAGTAGTAACTTTTTAAAAATTCAAGGAATAATAAAGAAGAAATGGCAATTTCACGACGCGATTTAGCTCACATTTATTTAATATCGTATTATTAGTCCGTAAATAGGCTATATGGCTTTAAATAAGTATTGTCACGAATATCTGTAATTTATGTAAGTATCTTAAACACTCTTAATGTTCATATAACATTGCGACATCCATTGTACTTCTTATTTGTTATCGGATCTCCCTCGACTTCACTTTCGTAACGACAGACCGAGAACTGGAGGTCGCACCTCAGATAGGCTCAATCAATGTTATGAGGAATTGTAGATCTAAAGAGATTGATCATTGATACGCTTTGGGTTTCGTTACTATTGATAATACCATCTATTAGTATTACAATGTTGTTATGCTTTAATATTATACAACATCATGATAAAATGTACACCACGGAATATACAAAATGAGTGAAAAAATATTTGACGAAAGTATACGATCGGCTTCTGCTTTGTTGTGGTAACTCATTAATACTTCGATTAATCTAAAAACATAATGTGATTTTATTTATCAAAATTATAAATTAAATAAAATAGGTATAATAAGTTAAGGGGTAATATTATATAACTGTATTGATTCTAAAGAAAGATAAGAAAAACCTGAAAAATCACCTTATCATTTCATAATTGTTTTTTTTCTGATTTGGGGATTGTAAGTTTGAAATATCAATTCAATAATATAGCAAATAAGAAGTTTTTTAAAATGTATTGAAAGTGAAAGAAATTCAGCAATAAAAATGATTAAGACCTGGCTTGTGAAAGGAGTTCGTTTCTCGATCAGAAAATCAATTTATTCAATTATGTAGATATTCCTTTTCTGATTTCTATTTACACTAATCAACAAATACCCACAGTGTATTTTGAATTATTTATTCAAACATTTTATTGAGGAAGTTATAAAATCCTGTTTAATAATTGGATACAAGCAGACCGACTGGCACTATCTACATGTTATCTCGACAGCTATCGATTTAGCTACGGAATTTCTCATCCGATTGTTAGTGCTACGATCGACAATCGATTTTATTAAAATGTAACTACGATCCACCATACATCATTAGTAAGCTAATACTTAAAATGCTGCTGGGACATAGAAAATGTATTTTTATAAAATGGCAGTTTCAAAATGATCAGTTTTAAATTAGTATCAGTTACTAATAATTCAGTATCGTCATTTAGGTTGTACCAATATTGCTATTATAAAAAATATTTACCAGAGTGTATTTTTGGCATAGATACATAAAATATGAAGATAAAAATTATTTAGAAAAAAAAGTATTATGAGCTAAAGAGATGGAGAGATATTTTAACTAAAAATCAGAAAGAAATGGGTATTATAAATGTTGTTTTCATAAATTGACTCGACACGTTAATTTTACGCATTATTAGATTGATTATAGTGGTAAAAATCGATTGCAGGAGTTTTATTTTTTGTGGTGACTCAACATATTTATTGATCTTTGTACGTAACTAGCTGTTTTCCCGCGACTTATAAATTATAGTCTACATCAACCGATATGATGTAGCTTCTCAAATTTACCATTTGCCCAGCTAACCTCCGCCTTACTTCGGTCCCAGATTTTGAAAATCGAATTTACATCCACAGTTAGGTCTTTGCAACTAAAGCTTTTCATATGTTCACATTTCCACTAATCTCTGAAAAATATACATTTTGTGATACACAGTTTATAAATTCTAAAGAAAGATAAACATAAATAATACATGAATTTTAAATGCAATCAGTAGCAACATTTTAAGCTCCAATTCTGTATCGGTGGCTCGTGTGGGTGGAGCCTAATGGATCGACTCTACGAAAGTTGTTCATTGGATGTTATCAATTCGTGAACATGCAGATCGAAACGCTGACACGCTGTATTCTGCTTCGTTTATTTATTGCAGACAGTTTTGAAACAACAGGTTGTTGGTCTCTTTGCAAACACTATTGAGGAAATCTGTTATTTGGAAATAGTCTGTAAACCGTTTTCTATGTTAAAATACTGGACTTATTGCATAGTAAATGTAACATTAATAGACTAAATTCCTGTGATTCAATCAACTAGAAACTCGATATAAAAAAAGAATTTATTTATCCATTTACCTAATCATGGTCATCACATCATCATCACCAGCCTATTGATGTCCCTACTGCTGGGGCTCAGACTTTCCCTATGGATGAAATCGAATAGGGAAAAAGGGGTTATGACCCACCTTGCTGGCCCGGTGCTTATTTGTGGGTATTAACGACTGCAGATGCAGCGGGGACCAACGGCTTAACGTGCTTACCGAAGCACGGAGGAGTTCGAGATAATACCTTATTGGTCACCCATCTTATGACCGGCGATTGCGAAAGTTGTTTAACAAACGTATCGCAAGCCGAGCGCGCTAGCCACTGCACTACAAATTAGGGTATTATATTGAAATTAAGACATTCTTATTTTTTCAAGATATTGTTAGGGCTTAGGGTTCGGGATAAAAATCAACTCTCACAATCTGACTTTATTTATTTAATAAAATTACAAAAATTATCCAATAATAAATATCATACTTCTTCGACTTCACTGATTGACGTTATTACTCTCACTTCACAACACTATTTCATCGTTCCGATAGTTCACTTTACTAGTTTTCGCTTCGGAATTCGTTTGTATTCGCTGGGCGGGAACGGGTAGTACACCGTGTATTTATAGAGACAGGGCTAGAATGTTCTAGGTTAAGACCTAGAACATTCTAGGTTGACCTCGGCCCTCTACTCTGCGTACTCTGCTACGGCTACCCGTTCCTTTGTTCCCCAGTCACTGTCCCTTTCTTCCGACGTCTATATGACTTGCGTATTTTCAACGAGTCAGCGGTGCATAACGCCATCTGTAACGAGCTGCCGAACACCGCACCGCTACGCTCTGTAACAATATGAAAAACGAGCTATTTGCTGCGACTTCATCCGCGTAAATTAGAAGCCTGTGATGTATCTTCATGTGGGTGATTTGTATCGGGCTAGTAACTGCAGAGCGTCTATACTATGCAAACAAAGAATCAAATCTTTCCTTTTTATAATAATTAGTATCGACATTGATTGCACAATATAAATTTTATACAATTATCGCGTTTTTATTTCTTAAAAATAAGTATTTAAATCTGTATTGTTTTTATGATTCACATAAAAAAATGACAAATCTCGTATCTGCTCTAGTTGAAAGTTTGTCACTCACTTAATATTGTATTATTTTACAAGAAAATGTATGTTTTTTTTATAAAATTCTTCAATGACTTTGGTATTATTGGAATGTATACTAGCTGCCGAAACCCCTCCTCGTTGAGAAATAGTTAATACAACAATACAAAAAAGAATTATTAGATCTTTGATAAGTATACTTTCAATTGTGTACCTGGACCTTACGCAATACGCTATTAAGAGCAATACAGAATTGATCTACGTTTACTCAGATGTTCTATACAGTTAACAATGAAATAAGATGACATCAGCTGTGTCAAGGATCCATACATTTTTTGTTTACCGAGGTACTTTAGTACGGAGTTACTAAAACTAATAAAAATAAATCGATAATACTTTTATTATAGAGATACTTTTATCTCTTCATTATTTTCAAACATCATTTCAACAATATTAAAATACGCATCATTACTTTAAAAATTGTATAGATTAGATTGCACGTTAGCATCTTCTTTATGGTGATTTTCAAAAATATTATTTAGGTAACCTTAGTTAGGTAGGTTAAATAAAATCCTTGAAGATATTTTATATAAAAAATTATACATGACTTTATTACACATAAAAGTTACTTCTCAATAAGTATATATTTCTAATAAAACCACAGTTTTTATAATGAAATGCACCTACTTGTAATATATTTATTAGGTGTGGAACCAAAAAATTCAAAGCAATCGAAGATCGCCCGCGCCGATAGTAGCCTGTTACAAAGTAGCCGCGGGCGTCGTTGCGCCGGTCGTGGTCCAGCTAAACACCGGCGATTCAATTTTAATACACTCTAATTCGTTCCAGTTGTTCTTAGTAGCACCTTCTATTTTTGTAGTAGTTAGATTTTTAATGAAGAGCCCCTGTAATTATATCGTGACAAGTATACTTTTTGTTAAATAAAAAGATTGATTCAGGAAACATACATTTATATATAATAAAAGAGTCTACAATAAATCTATTATCGATGAAATAAAAGTTTCAGTTAATATTTTTAAAATATATTTACGCTCAATTTAACAAATTGTCGTATGGAAAATATGGCGACTTTATATTTACTTCAGTTTATATGAAATAGGTTTTACATCTTGCCGTTTGATACCATCTACTGAATGCAGTGTTGCGACGGAACCATTGCCGACGCTAGATTTTATTCCTGAGATTAATTAAAAGATACGGCGACGGGCTAGCCGTCAGCAAGAGTGAAAACGCGTCATCTCATCTTCTTGACGTTAGCGTCGAATACGATTTGTTCAACATACAATCCCTGTTTATATGCAACTAGTTATCTACTTCGTGCTATCGCAATAGCCAATGAAATCATTGAGGTATGTAGTATACGATACACAGCTTGGAACAGGTGTACCATTAGAAAATCGCCGGCGGCTACAAGGGTTGCGTGTGGTAGACCAGTTATGCCAAGGAGAGTCACTAAGACCATTTTCGCAAATGATATACGTTTTCCATCAAAATGCTCGAGTTACTTATTATGGCATGGCTAACAGGATTTTCTTGACCCTTGATTTAAATTTTGCTTGGTCTAACTGATATGCTGTTTCATTTATGGAAATGCCGAACGAAGGTGATTCATAATGTTTATGTATCTAGTCAACCAGACGTTACAAATTTTGTAAATATAGTACAACTCATCAACTACATGGAAAATTTATAGCAAAAATGAATTTATTCATTCCCTGTTGAACCAAAACATGGTTGAATAATGTATGGGTCGAGTTGTAAGTTCTATTTGCGTAGGCCGTCTTGATGCCGGTGGATGTTATTACTTTGTCTTTAGAATAACTAGTGTGATATCCAGAGCTGGTACTTGTTTAAGCCGGTTGTTCTCACTTTCTAATAAAGAGGTTCATTCGAGTGACAACTTGATAGTAACAATTTGAGTTCAAATGCAAATAATTACAGTAATTGTAAGATCCATCTAAGAGTTATAGATACCTATATCGATTATAAGTCGATGGAAAATTATACTTGATTATAAGCCATGGAGACGTTTAAAACATTCTTGAATATAAGTAAAAGTGTAAATGTAACCTCGGAATAAAATTCAGTTGATGTAGTTTTGAGAGATTGGAGTCTGATTGATTAATTGATACCAAAACTCAGAATTGCGTAAATGGAATGCTTCGGTAGAATTTAAAGGGCACTTATATTTCGACAGGTGTCAAGCAACTGAATGCGCCTCTGGTAATTTTGTACTTTTTGATAATCCATTTTGTTCTTATTTTATTTTATATTGGCAATTTAAAGCAATCACTTTTTTGTAGATTGTATCAGTGCTCTATAAACGTTCATTGTTTAAGTTACTTTCCCTTTGGGAGTTATTTGAAGGGTTAAGTAGACTTCTGTTACCGAGTAGTGGTTAGGATATGAAGTTTGTCTGAAGAATCAGGATCAATTCAGGGTTTTAAAAAAGAGCTTGTTTGCTTTTCTTTAAGTGATTACTTAATATAATTTCATTAGCTGCAGTATAATAAATTAATTAATATTTCAAATTTGGAATTTGCAATGGAATCTTTAAAGTGATATTCTTAAAATATTATAACTTTATTAAGTAATTTTAATTACTTCTTTTCAGTCTCGACCGGCATCTGATCCAAGCGCACGCGCAACCTGCGTCGGCCTTCCGTTGCGAACTTTGCAATCGCGCTTATAGCTCCCGTGCTTTACTTTTACGTCATCGTGCTCTCGCTCATACTGACATCAGGAAATATCCCTGCGAGAACTGCCCTAAGGTAATATATTTAAACGAAAGTTTGTACATAACCCTTTTGAGTTTATTGTTGCTAAAGTTGGAAAAACTAAACACTTCTTAGTGATTGTTCAACTCTTATTTAGACGAGATAGTGGGCAAATAAAGAATTTTTAAATCTGAAACTATTCGAGGCATTGATTGCTTGTTAGATAGTATATACGGATTCAAACGGTAGTCTTAGTCGCAACTTCAATTCACGGTAATAAAATATTCTATTATACAAATTAATTAAAAACGCAAAATCTATTGTTTGTAATATAAATAACAAATACATTAATTGGTTACCAAATTTTACACTCGCAATCACGCAATCCAGAAGAAAAAATAGATCAAAAAACTTTTATATGGTACTGGTTATTCTGGCAGATTAGTAGCGCACACAATTTCAGTTTTCGACATTATAGTTAAAGTTTCAGTACAAACAGATGCTGTATAATAAACATAAAGCTAAATCATATCAATAATAACAACAGCTATAAGTATTATGAAACTAAAATTAGCTTCAATAGATACGAAAACAACGTTAAAAAGTTAGCATAAAGTTTCACGGTGTCCGAAACCTGATGTTATTTCAGGTATTTACCGATCCTTCCAACCTGCAGCGCCACATCCGCGCGCAGCACGTGGGGGCACGCAGCCACGCCTGTCCCGAGTGCGGCAAGACCTTCGCCACCTCCTCCGGCCTCAAGCAGCACACCCACATACACTCCAGCGTCAAGCCCTTCCAGTGCAAAGTCTGCTTCAAGGTCAGTATAGCTTCAATATTTTTACAATTCAATTAAGTTGATAAAGATAATATTTTCTTCGGCCAGTTTTAATGTCGATTGTGAAAGGAGTTTAAAAGAATCTCAGTAATGCGTGGATCTTCCAAAATTTAATAGAGTTTCCTAATTTTACTTGACCCCGCAATATCTATAGATATTGCAACCAGGATTTTTTTTATTGGTGTAAGTGTAAAATGGGTACAAGTTTATGAATTTCTACATATATCTTAGAACTTTTCAAAATTTTATCATCATATTAAACCGTTTCACTGTAAGCATCTTTTATCAGGTCTCATAAGCTAAAAAAAAATGTTTTATAATAAGTATATTAAATGTCAATGAAAAATATATATATAATCTAAATATAAAACATCTCTTTTTCAGAGTTACACGCAATTTTCGAACCTGTGTCGCCATAAACGAATGCACGTCGCGTGCAGAGCTCTAGTTGAATGCGGGAAATGCGGACAGTCTTTCACATCGTACGCATCACTCACTAAACACAAAAGATTTTGTGAAACCGCCGCTGCTGCATCTGTAAATTTGCGAGGGCAAATGCCACAAGGACTTCCTCAGATTCCACCCCTGCCAAACGTCGGAATGAATAATCCGAACAACGGGAACCCGTTCCCTCTTTATAGGGGTCCAGCTTTACCGTTGCCTTACAATACTTTCGCTCACTATCCAGCTTTATTTTCTGCTGCAGCAGCCGCCTGCCAACCTGATCTGTTTAACCCATTGTTATTTAACGTCCAAGGTGCCCGATTAAAAATGGAGCATGACATTGCATTATCAAATGCAAATATGGTTATGAATTCAGAGGGTCGTATGTCAGTCAAGAGCATTGACAGCTCAACTTCTGTTGAAGAAGTGAAAAAGAAGGAAATGGATTTCGAAAATAATACTAGAGTAACTGAAAAATCAGAAAGATGCACGCCTAAATTACAAAACTTATATGTAAAGCAATCTCCACCGTCAATTGAAGAAACATCTCAACATCGACCTTCACCAGTTAGGTCAGTGCCGACCCCTATAGTCCCATTCAACTTCCACAGAGATGAACAGAAGCAAAAATCTCCATTCAATTTTTCGTTGAAGGTCAACAATAATGATATACAGAGGAAGTCTATTTCCCCATCACTTCCTAAAGATTTATCTAGACACAATATTATCGATGACAAAACTTCTGAATATTCAGATCTAGAAGAAGAAACGAAGAAAGATGAGGGTGATCAACCTTTAGACTTATCTGTTTCCCGTAAAAGCGATAAGGAATCTGAGCCTGATAACGACAATCGCTCCTTTCGTAACTCTTCGGTGAAATCTTATTCACCGCCTGAGAGTCCAGCAGAGAGGAGCAAGACTCCGGAAAACGACACCACAGATGTAGATGTGGAAGGCGTAGAACCCAAACGAGAAGATTCCCCTTTGGTTTCGCCAACTCTTGCGTTTCCAATGCCTGTCCATCCTCAACATAATATAATCGATGCGATGTATCGCCCGAGATTTCCGTCCTTTCCGTCATCAGAGTCGATACTGAACCCGGCTCACTCACCTTACGTACCGAGCCCGTTTAATTTTTTATCCCCAATTCTAGGCACTGAAGGACCCGATAGACAACCAAGCGCTTATGCAAAATTTCGAGAGTTGAATTCCGGATCGAAACTAAGAGATCGTTATGCTTGTAAATTTTGCGGGAAGGTCTTCCCCAGAAGTGCAAATTTAACTCGCCATTTACGTACACATACAGGAGAGCAACCTTATAAGTGCAAGTACTGTGAACGTTCATTTTCTATTTCTTCGAACTTGCAGCGACACGTTCGTAATATCCATAATAAGGAGAGACCATTCAGATGTCCATTGTGTGACAGATGTTTCGGTCAGCAGACCAATTTAGATCGACACCTCAAGAAGCACGAAGCTGAAGGTGGTGATTCCCCTAGCTCAGCCGATACAGAAAGAGAAGATGCTTATTTCGATGATATTAGGTCATTTATGGGAAAAGTGACGTGTTCCCCTGGAGGTACTCCGCCGGCAACATCGCCTCATGCGCCTCATAGGCCGTCGTTAGCGATTTCCACATAGCCGCCGATGTACCCGCTACCGCCTCCGCCGCCTTTGTGGCCACAGCCTTACGAGTAGCGACGAAATGGTGCTGACTTTGATGTCCTTTTTTAATTTTGACATTGGAAGTCTTTGGTCACTGAAATTCCTACATCGTAGTCATCATATATGTCAGTCTCTTTAAAAACTTTAATTCATATCTTCATATATTTAATGCTATGCTGTAAATAGCTCCAAATATTGGATAAATGAAAATAACTAACAATAACACAAAGAACATAATTCAAGAATTCAATGACGTTATAGGAGGATCAATTTCATCGTGAAAACTTTAAAGCAATACAGTAACGAAGAGTTGTGTCTTTTGTACATGATTTCCCGTCTCTATCGGTGCAAAGTTATTAGTAAGAGATGTAAACAAGAGATTGACAAAATGCCATTGATTGTTGCGCGACAAAGTTGCGAAAGCACATGATTTAGATAGGCTTTTTCTTATTACATCACAAAATATATTGCTAGCGAGAACCGTATATTATTCTTATCACACATGACAACACAGTTAAATTAGGTCTGTATTTTAGGATCCATTGTTGAAGTATATTATTGATATATAATTAATTTATTAGTTCCTAGACTAGAAATAAGATTAAAATAATTTAAAAAGTTTCGAAAATGTAAATATATAAAAATATTACAGTTAGGCTTGTTAAATTTGTATAAAAATAATTGTAAGCTGGTTCGCTGTTCCAATAGAATATTTCTCAACGGAGAGCAAAATTAATTATTTTATTTATTTCAACGGGTTTCAATTGATTTTGATCTCGTTTAGTCAAAAAACTTACCAAAGTTTCATTAAGATATTAAAGCAAATAATAGGAAAAAAAAAAGAAAAATTCTATATATGATTTATTGAAACGACATTTTAGGAAACTAGAACTTATTCTGGTTAAATGGTTTATTATTAACTTGGCACTTTATAAAAATGGTTTTGGATGTACAGTTGACAACATATCACATAGAAATGGAATTATTGTTCTAACATTCTTAATCATCGGATGATTTTTTATAAAGATTGACGCATATCAAATTGTAGATGAAGCTCAAAGTATTAGATATTTGTAATTAAAATTGTTCTTAAGCTAGTTAAACAGATCACATGAAAAACATTATTGTATGTAATAGTTTAAGATAATTTTTGAAAGTTATCCTCTCTTTTATTATAAAAAATGTATAAATATATGAATAGATGATAAACATTATTAAATGTCATTTAAAATAACAGTCGTGCACTTTCGTTTATTAGTAAAAAGGTATAAATACATTAATGAAAAGTGTTAAATAATTTAGTAACATTGTAATATAGAAAATTTGAACGCTTACTGTATATTGTAATGACTCTGCCACTGTTAAAAAAAGCAATGCAATATTCAATAATTATTAGATATTATTAATGTCATATCACTTCTAACGAGTTAGTTCTATTTTAAGAATTTTAAAGTCACTCTGAGTAATAAAAATTGATGATCTTACACTTCAATATTCGTGATAATTCAATTACAAAAATAATGGATATTGTAATGCATTAAAATAAAAAACCAGTACAATCTGTTTTGCTTTTTTTTGTCATTTTACTTTTCCTATTCCAATGTTTTTGATAATTTACGCCAGCGGTATGTGACATATGTCTAATTGATTAAACACAATAGATGGTAAGACATTATATAATCTAAGGATGGTAATATAAAAAAAATCAGTTGGGACTCGAAACCATTCGCCAAAGACTTCTCTAAACCATTAAGTTACCCGTGATCAAAGCGAGTCCTATGACATCAAGAATCGTTCATGTATATTTTTTAATATTTAATCAATGTTCAGGCAATTTGCGAATAAGAGACAGACAACTAGTTTGATATTTTGCAAAATATCCAGCGTCAAACGTAATGTTGAGCGCAACGCTGTGACAGCTTAAACTAGCTTACATGGCGAGATAAAAAGTGAATACGATAAGTTTTACATTTCTATTTTCAACATTATTAGTGGCCATTGAGAGTACTAACAATAATATAAAAAAGTAACACAATTGAATGTTATAGTACATATATTATATACAGTCAAGATAGAACCTCATGTACTAGATTTCAAATAAACTAGAAATATTAATAGATACAAAATCACATTTTTTTAGTTGCTACAATTATTATAAGGATTTTTTATTGTTAGTGCGATAGCCTTACATGTTCCAATCAAAGATTATAATAATAGCCGTTCGTTGCTATTTAAGGGAGAGTTTAAAGGCCCGATGAATAAGCACTGATGAAAAGGTTAGCTCTAGCTTCTGTCAATTATACGAACAATCCATTGAGGATTGCAAACTGGTTTCATTTCATAATAAGAAAGTTAAATTATTACGATGAAGCTTCTATGAAATTAATAAAACAAAATTCAGTTTTACTTAAAACTTGTATTTGGGAATATTTGGTTTTACAATAGGGTGTGATGTATATGACGAATTAAATAAAATTACTTGTCGCTCCTCTATCCCAAAAAGTCTGTCATTGTGGCATTCTAAAGCGAAGCTCATAGAGTAAGAAACTACGCGAAGCTGAAATAGCAAAGTAGCATTTCAATCTCTAAGGGAAAACTTCTTTTTATTTTTTTTATCTGTCACAAAGAAGCTTACAGAAAAGTTGTTATTAAAATTCACAATATCTTGATGTCTTTGGATTGTCTATTTGAAAATGGAAGTAAACGCAGTGATCTCAGTGATTCGACAGAATGCGTGCATTAAGGCCATTAAATTTTCATTGGTTGTATTTACATTACTATCGAAACTATTAGTAATTACTTTAACCGATAGATGGTGTTGTTCTCTATTAGATCACGTTGTTGTTTCTTTTGCCTTAGATATTTGTGAATCTTCCATTGTTTTTTGAACTACCCGATAAATATACATCTGCTACATTCCTTAAGTAGCTATCACTAACACTATAGCTTCGAAAGGGATTGCAATTGACTTTGAAATTAGACAATTAAGGAGGTATATTCCTCAGTAATATAAGGTTTTTCAAGTAGTTGTCAATTGACTTAATCAATAACTGTAATTTTTAATGTTGGTCAGTAAATTTAGTGATTTTGTAAAGACGAAGAATGTACTTTTTGAATGACTGATTTTTATTTTAGTATATTTATTTAAAGCATATAGATTTATTTCAAAACGATTCATCGTAGACTTTCAATCGAAACTACTAATTAGTGTAACTATGACCTCTCTACAAAGGTCGAAACTTTAAAGGTGAAAAAAGCTTTCGCCTCATTTGCCTGAAACTTAATTGCACACATGACATTTTAAATGTAACTACCATTAGTAAGTAAATCGTTCGTTAATTTCACAAACGATCGTTATCTGTTTTCTTAAAGATACCGATCAAGAGCAAAAAAAATAACAAGTTATAAAAACTCTTGGACAGGTAATCGGTCTTTAGTTACAAAGGACTGTCACAATTGTATCAGTGGGCCGGAGGTCAATTTATCAACCTTTTAAGATTAATTCGAGTTCGCAAATATTATATAAGAGATCGCTTTGGCCCGTTATCAGTGAAAGCAAGGACGCAACAAGGACAGAAGATAACGTAATTATAGCTTATTATAGACCGCTCGCCTGCGCTATAGTCGGCGGCATAGTACAGAGGGGAAGTAGTGAAATCAATTTATTTTTTATTGTTATGTCTAAATTTATACCAAGGAGTTAAATTTTATTATGCCTTTGATAAGTATAGTAAAGTATACCTGATAAGTAAGCAAAGCTCTAATAATATTAATTTGCAAGCTATTGGTCAATTTTAATTTCTCGTGTTCTTCGATTCGGAATTAATTAAATAGAAAAATTTGTGTACTAACCCTTGAGGAAGGTGTCCTTCACGTTGGTCAAATCCGATCCGCACTACATTCAACCAACACCACAGACAGTGAGACCATTCATATCACCGAAGATAGGGCAAGATGGCAAACAATAGTCTACGAGAGATTAATTTAACGAGGTCACGACCCTCAACATAAAGGATGAACGCCGTAAGGAGAAGGTATAAATCGGTCATCAACCTATTAATGTCCCCATTGCTGGGAAACATGCTATAACTAAATATAATCCACCAAACAGGCCTAGTACGGATAGGTAAGTATTAAAGTACGAACACGTAAGAACTCGAGATAAAAAAAAATGTTACTCATGCCACGACCAGCCTTTATCTAAATATGCGAATAGAGTGATCATGATATTATGTGACACTAGAGAAGAACTCTTTTTCTATAACTCTTTTATAAATAATGTTCCTGTATAAATAAATAAAAAAAAGTGAAACTTTTACAACAACTATCTTTAGACGAGCAAATTTTCACTATATCAGAATCATACGCATGATTGTTTATATTGTTAAAATATAATACTAGTAAGTGTTTTAAAGATTTGATGACATTTCTAAAGATATGATTTTAATAGGTTGAGTTACTGGTATAATTTTATACTGTTATATTCTGAATTAGTAGGCGATCGAACCTAGTAAGATACGACACGCCTCATTGTTTAGAATAAAGATGTGAATTGCCTTACATTTACACCAAAGAATATAATCAAACATAAGATCTATTTTTTTGACGAAACAAAAAAGGAGTTTTTATTAATTTATTTTATTGGTAGATCTTAATCGACCGCTTTGCTTGATTGAATTAATATTCTAAATAATATCGAGGTCCTTTTATATTTATTAAAATGATTTTTTTAAAGAATATTTCATTACGTGGCACACTCCGCTTTTTCATATATCGTTTCATCAAACGAATTACGGAATTAACTCAATTTTAACTCGTCTTCCGCGACTGTACAATACAAAGTTTTCCAAACTGATATTTTCTTTGGGACAAGGGAGCTTTTTAAAAAAGACATAAAGTTGACTCTTCTACCTCCACCTAACCAAACTAAAACTTGAAACTTAACTATGGAAACATATGAGTACGTTTATGTGTGTGTGGGAGTAAATGTATACGTGGAAAAATATATATTTTTTTAAATATTTTTTTTTTCCAAGATTATGCAATGCATGTTTGCAAGTATGGGTATAATATTAATATATGAATGAAAGTATGTATCTAAACTTTATGTTATATTTTTTTTTCATTGTTAAGCAAAGCATGCTTGTCATGCTTTACTCAATGCGTCTTTTAAATTCGATTCCTCTCGCTTTTGTTGTCGAGGTGATCTTACAACTTCTGTATTGTTTAATATTTTAACTAGTTGTGTACATTTGTATTGGCCTGTGGCTGTTTTATGTACCAATTAAATAAATAAATAAATTACGATAATTTTTCAGAACATGATCAAATATAATTAGAACAGTTAGAACAAATGTTCATTTTTGTCGAAAGGTTAAATATTTGTAAAAATATTTCTTTCGGCTCTTTAGTAGCGAAAAATAACAAGTGCGTGAAAAATTCATTAGCCCTGTTAGGTCCAGGAAGCTCAGTGGTTAGAGCAGTCGCCCGGATTACGAAAGATAATGAGTTCGAACCCATCCTAGGGTGCCAGGGAACTTGATCAAATATAATAATTATTGAGATACATTGTTTCAACTTTTCACATATAAGAAAATATCATAAATAGTAAGTTATTTGGAAAACTATCCCGCTAATGCCCTGAAATTCGACTTACTATTCAGTATTTAATGACTTTTTAGTTCAGTTCAGTTCAGTACCTTAAGGGTAAAACGGGACCCCATTTCTCGTCTTTCCAATCGTCTTTCTGTCTATCTGTTCGTCTGTCACCAGGCTGTATCTCATGGAACGTGATAGTTAGACAGTTGAAAATTTCATAGATGATGTATTTCTGTTGCCGCTGTAACATCAAACAATAAAAAACAGAATAAAAATAAAACAAAAAACCTATTTTTTTCGCGGTTCTCATAGATAACAGTACGGAACCCTCAGTGTGTGAATCCAACTCGCACTTGGTCGATTTTTATTTTGTAGATATTTAACTTTTATTTTATTGTATCAGACAATTTTTTTTGTTGTTTTAATTTTTCATAAAATGTCATAAATTATTATATGTGATCAACTTTGCATTTACAATTTCATTAAGAATAGACTTTTGAAAATTTTAACAATGTATAAAGTCCTAACTTTTGTTGTTTGAACTCAGACTTATTCTTCCAAGTCTAAAGTGTTAGTGATTTAAGAAAGGATATATTTGGCGGCGATTGTATACCAATAGCACATTGTCCAGAAAGTAGGTGCGGACACAAACAACCTCAATAAGGTCTTCCGCGAGAGCAAGTCGACACTATCGCGACACGATTCTGGGATACTGCCCACACTTTACGAGAATATGGCTACATAATGTTTAAAAATAAACTTTTGCAAAGATTTATTTTAGTATAGGTATATTTCATCCTTATCATATTTTTAAATATCTTATATTTTTACAGAAATATTTAATAAACACTTAAACTACATTAATAATTTTACGATAGTGTAGTAGTTCTATTCCATAAACTTTTCTGGTAGTATTATTTAACTAAAATCAATGTAAACTAATGAAGTACGTTAATTATTAAAGT